GCAGCAAGCCTGTTGTCGTGCTGATGCGGGCAAGTATCGTCAAGCCGCAACAAGCCGAGCGAACGCTTCTGAGATGGGGCTTGATGGCAACAATTCGCATGCGGCCTGATGACAGACTTGCTGCAAGTTGCGCGAACTTGGCCGTGTATTATGTATATATATTGTGAAAAAGCTAATAATTTCATCTTCATTCGCATAAAAAATTGAACACCGATAATTTGTCCTTCCTTTAAAATTTTTTTTATACAAACATATAGGCGTACGGGACAGAGGTGAAAGGGGGTTAATTGCCCTCCCGCCCTCCCCGTAAGAAATTGGCACACGGTATTTCGAGAAAATTGCAGCCAAGCAATTTTACGTTTCATAACAATAAAATACTCACCAAGTATGTCTACAAAGGCCTTAGCCGTATCATTTCCGAGTCTGTTGCGGGCTGTACAAGAAAATTGTCCTAAATGCTTTCTGTAATCTGCCCTACAGATGACCAATACAGTGGCATGATCTTTGTCCTCATTTGGCAACATGTAGATACCTTCTAACCTGCTTTTACAATCATCTGTTCCTTGAACAGAATCTCGCACTTTCAGCATTTCGCCATCTTTCTTCCAGGTAATTCGAGGTTTCGGGTGGCCGCTAACGTTACAGCGAACGAGGAAGGAAGAAGATTGTTTTCTTGTAAGGTTTTTGAGCGAGACACTTGGTGCATTTAATTCTAAATTGATAGTAAGATTAAAGAAATATGCAATTATAATAACCATTTATGAACCCAATAAAATCAGCTGGCATGTATAATTGGCATGTATAACTACAGGGTGTATCAATAAAAACGGAGTCCTCACATGAAGTGTAAATTTCAAAGCGAATATGAAAGTTAGACATCTATGCTTGCCTTCTTTCGAAATCGCAATCTTTCGGCTATTTCATATACTTTATTTTATAAAATTTGGAGTTATTGCTGGCGAGCTGTGTCAATTTAAGTAAGTGCAATTGGAAAATTAAAAAACGTAGATGTGTTGAATTCGCAATTTATTTAAACGTTCCAAAAAATAAGTTGGAAGTGCAGTAGTGCACATTTACTCAACGTGGCCCTTCTAAGTTCACACAAGTTCATTCTTTGTCTCATATCCAAGACAACTCTTCTTCTTCCCGAGTTTCCTTTATTTCGATTTAAACTTTATGGGGTGGTTCTTCCATTCAATGCATGCAGCCGGTATTTGTTGACATTACGCCAAACGCTCGATGAAGATTACGTCCTGGAAAAGCTATTTGAAATTGTCTTAACACTGCAACAACGCTTTTTGTTTCGAAATACTTTTCAACAATGAATGTTCTTTCCGGAATTGTTAGCTTTGGCATTATGAATGGCGATTGTAAAGTTTTAAACAACAACGTTCTGAATTTTAGCAAACTACCTTTAATTAAGGCCCCAAGGGACTTCGAAGATTAATATTTCGAAGCATCTAAAAACGAGCGCTTGTACTAAATTCTTTTTATTGCGATTAGCCTTAGTTCAAAATTTTCAAGAAACCCTTCATTCGAAAGATGAAAAAACAAGCTTTAAATTGAGCACAAAACGAAACTATGGTAGTTTATTTTACGATAGAAATAAGGATATTTAGGACGACTCCGTTTGTTTTTTATACACTCTGTATATATGGTGGAAGGGAAAATCGTCGGATATAGAATGTGAGAAGTGCATATTTTATATCTATGTTTATTGCTATTCTAGATATTAATGAGTGCCGACTGACCCCATGTCATCTAAATGCTGATTGTAATAATAATGAAGGAAGTTATACATGTACTTGCAAAAGTGGCTATACGGGTGACGGTGTTAATAATTGCACAGGTAATGTCATGATTAGTTGTACACTGTACGATACTTTCGAAAAATCTCTGCTGACTAATCTGCAACTAAAGCTAAATTATAGCACCAATGTTATTTTGTTACTGCTTCGTATACTAGTGCATTCCTCAAAAATTTAAATTTGTTTTAACATCTTCAAGTCTAAAGACAGTACAGACAGCGGAAAGCCTTTCATGGATTTTCCTATACAGAATCATGTGCAGTGTCTTCATCGGAGATGATATACGTTGTAAGGTGTAAAAATTTTGAAAAACCATGAAATTCCGGCAAATCCTAGGAAAAATCAGAAAAATTCGGGCAGATTTATCAGAAAATGGGTTAAATTAAGGTAATTTCATTTCAATTCTCCATAAAAATTCGGGCAAACTTTCAACTGCCCCCTGGAAAGCATGAGCCCCGTACGCTTCCGTACGCCAATGCGGGCAGTCATTATTTATGGTGGAGTGTGGCATCGAAGAGAATTGTTTTTCTTGGTCAAAATTTTGCTAATCCAACCATTAAAAAGTCAGCATTTTTTTTACCCAACCTCAAATATCAATTAAAAGATAAATACCCACCCCTGGTTAAAAAGTCTACAAAATGATACCATTCAGTTGTCACACATGTTCTTTACCACTTCTGTGACATGAGTTTGATAACGTTTCTGCAGTGTAAAGTTTCATGTTGTCTGCACATGCGCTTC